TCTTTCTCTAATTTCTTGACGTGCTTGACTAGGTGTGGATTCCAAACTGGTGCTGCATACTCTAGTATGGGCCTGAAGTAAATGGTATACAGAGTCTTGAACGAATCCTTACTGAGGTATCGGAACGCTATCCGTAGGTTTGCCAGGCGCCCGTATGCTGCAGCAGTTATCTGATTGATGTGCGCCTCAGGAGATATGTTCGGTGTTATACTCACCCCAGATCTTTTTCCTTGAGTGAGGTTTGCAGTCTTTGGCCATCTAAACTCTATTGTGTCTGCGGTCTTCTTTGCCCTTCCCCAATCTTCATGACTTTGCATTTGGCAGGGTTAAACTCAAGGAGCCAGTTGCTGAACCAGGCTTGTAGCCTGTCCAGGTCTCTTTGTAGTCCTGCCTGATCCTCATCCGATTTGATTCTTCTCATTAACTTCACATCATCTGCAAACAAGGACACTTCTGAGTCTATCCCTTCCGTTACGTCGTTCACATATACCAAGAACAGAACAGGTCCTAGGACTGACCCCTGTGGAGCCCCGCTTGTCACAGGCGCCCACTCTGACACCTCGTCACGTACCATGACTCGTTGTTGCCTCCCTGTCAGGTATTCTCTGATCCATTGCAGTGCCTTTCCTGTTATGTGTGCCTGATCCTCTAGCTTTTGTAGTAACCTCTTGTGAGGAACTGTGTCGAAGGCCTTCTTGCAGTCCAAAAAAATGCAGTCGATCCACCCCTCTCTCTCTTGTCTTACTTCTGTCACCTTGTCATAAAACTCTAGTAGGTTTGTGACACAGTATTTTCCTTCCCTGAAACCGTGCTAGTTGTCAGTTATACAATTGTCTTTCCAGGTGCTCCACCACTCTCCTCCTGATGATCTTCTCCATGACCTTGCATACTATACGACGTTAGTGATACAGGTCTGTAGTTTAGCGCCTCATGTCTGTCTCCCTTTTTAAAAATTGGGACTACATTTGCCATCTTCCGTACCTCAGGGAATTGCCCAGTTTCAAATGATGTGTTGAAGATCTTTGTTAATGGCACACACAGTATCTCTGCTCCCTCTTTAAGGACCCACGGAGAGATGTTGTCTGGTCCCACCGCCTTTGAGGTGTCAAGTTCGCATAGCAGCTTCTTCACCTCCTCCTTGGTTATATGTACCTCATCCAGCACTTGCTGGTGTACCCCCCTGTTCTGATTTCCTGGAATCCTACTGGTTTCCACTGTAAATACTTCTTTAAATCTCGTGTTGAGCTCCTGACATACCTCTCGGTCGTTTCTTGTGAACTCCCCATCACCCTTCCTCAGTCTGATTACCTGGTCCTTGACTGTTGTATTCCTCCTGATGTGGCTGTACAACAGCTTTGGGTCAGACTTGACTTTCGATGCTATGTCATTTTCATATTGTCGCTGAGCCTCCCTTCTTATCTGTTCATATTCGTTTCTGGCTCTTCGGCTAATCTCTTTATTTTCTGAGTTCTCTGTCTTCCGTACCTTTTCCATTCTCTAGTACACCTAGTTTTTGCCTCCCTACACCTTTGGGTGAACCAAGGACTCGTTCTGTGCTTCCCATTATTTCTGTTTCCCTTGGGAACAAACCTCTCCTCTGCCTCCTTGCATTTTGTTGCCACATAGTCCATCATTTCTTGTACTGGTTTTCCTGTCAGTTCCCTCTCCCACTGAATGTCTTGCAGGAAGTTCCTCATGCCTGAGTAGTTCCCCCTTTTGTAGTTTGGTTTTTCCCAACCTATTCCTGCTACTCTCTCCATTTGGAGCTCAACTATGTAGTCGAAGCACAGAACCACATGATCACTAGCTCCTAGGGGCCTTTCATACATGATATCATCGATGTGTGTGCGTGTGTGTGCTTGTACGTATGTGTGTGTACTCAATTGCACTCACCTAATTATTATGGTTGCAGGGGTCGAGTCATAGCTCCTGGCCCCGCCTCTTCACTGGTTGCTACTAGGTCACTCCCTCATTGCTCTTCTTAAAGCTATGTATGGATCCTGCCTCCACCACCTCCCTTTCCAGACTGTTCCACTTCCTGACAACTCTGTGACTGAAGCAATACTTCCTAATGTCCCTGTGACTCATCCGAGTCTTCAGCTTCCAATCATGTTCCCTTGTTTCTGTGTCCCATCTCTGGAGCTTCCTGTCCCTGTCCACCTTGTCGATTCCTCTCATTATTTTATGTGTTGTTGTCATGTTCTCACTGTCCCTCTTCTCTTGCTGTGTCGTCAGGTTGATTTCCCTTAACCTCTCTTCGTAGGACATGCCCCTTAACTCCTAGACTATTCTCGTTGCAAACCTTTGCACTTTCTCTAATTTCTTGACATGCTTGGCCAGGTGTTGGTTCCATACTGGTGCTGCATACACCAATGTGGGCTTGACGTACACGGTGTACAGAGTTTTGAACTACTCCTTACTGAGATGTCAAAATGCTGGTTGACACCTGCCACAGCCTCTCTGAATGTGAGCCAACGGTTTGGTACCACCCCCACCACCACCATCCCCATCCCTCATAAGGGGTAGGAGAGAGCCTCCGGGTTTTCAGAAGTCATGGAATATGAAATTATAACTCACGAAATCGTAATGACACGATTGCAAACAAACCATACCCCGGCCGGGATTGAACCCGCGGTCAGAGAGTCTCAAAACTCCAGCCCGTCGCGTTAGCCACTAGACCAGCTAGCCACAACAAGATTCGTCCAACTAGGTATGTTTCTACACCATAGGAAGGTTAGCACAGGCACCACTGTGACCACAAATGCAAGTTTTTACAGACGAATCTCCAGCTAGCGTGGCCGTGACGAACTCTAGCTAACACGACGGGCTGGAGTTTTGAGACTCTGACCGCGGGTTCAATCCCGGCCGGGGTATGGTTTATGAAATTATAAGATATAATAGCCAGCCCCAAGCTTTTTCTAGCCGCTTAGAACAGGTCATGTGACTTGAGAAAATACGTTTTACAGTGGATAATATACATATGAATCGCTATCACTCTGTGGAACCCTTTCAGTTAATAAAAGAAAAATAAATGTGCTATTTTGTCCCTTTTATAGTCCTGGTCTGGGGTACTGGGTACTGTTCTGGTCTGGAGTACTGGGTACTGTTCTGGTCTGGGGTACTGGGTACTGTCCTGGTCTGGGGTACTGGGTACTGTCCTGGTCTGGGGTACTGGGTACTGTCCTGGTCTGGGGTACTGGGTACTGTCCTGGTCTGGGGTACTGGGTACTGTTCTGACGGGTACCCACAAGTATCTGTTCATATATTTCTAAATATTGTCTACCGGTCTTCTCAGTATCAGTTAATATGCCTTATTTGAGAATTTTTTTATACAATTCCGATAATATTTCTATGATCCAAATTTCTTCTTCTAATATACTTCAACCCCACTACCTATGCTATCACATAATCTTGTGTACCTGTCATTGTATGGTACAGTAACAGCTAAACACTTTATATAACTATTCACCACAGACGTAGCATGATGTTTTGGTGTGTAGACACAGGTCGAGCATCACCAAGCCTTCATCAAACCACCTGGCATAATGAGCAATCTTGTGATCTTGTTTAGCATTGCTGTTTAAGACTGTGTACAATAGACTCTACTAAATAGCTATCAAGCTTGTATAACCCATAATTTGAGTTATATACGGCATTCCTGTCATGTTTCAAGAGAGGAGATTCAATTATGTTTCTTTCTATGACAGAACTGTTGGGTACAATAATCTGGGCAGCAGCCTACCCCGGTGGGTGATTACAGGAACTAACGGGATTAAAGATAGTGTTCGACTCCTGTCCTGTCCTGAGTGAATATTTATGCTGAGCTATTCTGGTTTCCAGAAGTTTACCAGTTTGACCAATATATGAGAGAGGACACTGAGTACATGGGACCTTGTAAACCCCACCAACTTAGTTGGAGGATGTGTTTTAATCAACCTCTGTTTCACAGTCCCAGTGTTTTTGAAGGGAAGGTTTATATTGATATTTTTTAATGCCTCATACAGGCAGACCAAGTTCTAATTGTATGGTAAAACTAGTACAATTTTCCTGGCGATTACTTCCTTAGGTTCAGTCCTGTAGAAAAGTGTTTCTTACTGACATTAGTGCCTTCTCGACAAAATCCCTAGAATATCTCAGTTCTGTGGCTATGTTTAATATCTTGCTGATTTCGTCCTCTAAGTACTCTGGACTGCAGATGTGCAAGGCTCTCAGAACATTGTGAGGAACACACTCCATTATACCCTAGATTCGTGATGCCTGATGACGCACTGAGAAGTGTGAAAGTACTCGAGTTATAGATTTCCATCCCCCCCCCCCGTGGCTTATCTTGCGCACACACACACACACACACACACACACACACACACACACACCACACACATATATATATATATATATATATATATATATATATATATATATATATATATATATATATATATATATATATATATGTCGTCCGAATAGCAGAACTTCGATCTTGGCTTAAATAGCAACGCTCATATTTCCATATAGGACAAGTGAAAATTTGTGTATGCAATAATTTCGCCAAAATCATTCCCGAACCCAACGAAAAAAATATATTTCACTGTGTTTGTTTAGTATTAAATTATTGTAAACAAATCTAAAATATATTTAGTTGGGTTAGGCTAAAATAAATTCGCTTGTTATAATAGGTTAGGTAAGTTTTCTAAGTTCCTTTTGGTGCAAAATTATAAATTTTTACATCAACATTAATGGAAAAAATATATCTTTAAACGTATATGAGAAAATTTTAGAAGGGCTTAATTTTAAATGAGTTCTTGCTAATTACCAGTTTTACATATCGGCACGACCATATATATATAATATATATATAATATATATATATATATATAATATATATATATATATACATACTATCGTACTTGCTTGTAGCCTCCCATGAACATTACAATGTAGCTGAAAATGTGTTAATGGTCATTATGACTGGTACTATGACCTTCCCATCTATCCTACAGCTGTACTGGGAACTCCTGTCACGAGCGTTGGTGCGACAAGTTAGCAGCATCCGGCACAGCAACGTCAGGCGTCAGCAGCAGTAGCAGCGTCAAGAGGCACTTGCTGAACCATTGCTGAGAGGTCGGCGAGAGGAAGATGTCAGCGTGAGGAAACTGGCAGGTCATTCTGCCATTGTGGGAACTTCCTTAACCCCATCACACCTTCCTTATAACTGACGACCAGCTGCTGCACTGATGGAGTTCTCTCGCAGTACCCAGGTATGTCTGACACCTGACGCATTAAAGAAAATTTCAGAAAGGACTTAATTTTAAATGAGTTCTTGCTAATTGACCAGTTTTACATATTCAGCACGACATAATATATATAATATATATATATATATATATATATATATATATATATATATATATATATATATATATATATATCTTAGATCCATCTTTCTGGTTGCGGTAGAGATACAACAGCTAAAATATAATACAACTTAGTGTAATGATAAATTTGAGAAAAGAAATTCAGACTTGGTAATGTTAGCAAGTTTAGATGAAATATTTCTTGATAATTTGCTTATACATTAAGAGCATATAAACCTCCGGGAGATGGAAAGTCTTTATTCTGGGCCTCTGATTATCTCTCTTCTACAAGAAACAACCAGCAACAGTTTTATAACATATTAAATCATTTGATGTATTCCAAGCACAGGTTATAGTAACGACAGTTTACCGGGCATTTCACTCTCTTTAGATGTTTATCAAGTCATGATGATTTGATAAATATCTTAACATGTTAAAATGTTGTCCCAAGAGCTCTTTCTTCAAACGTGTCTTATTCGCTTGTTCTTTTGTACACAGGACAAAGTGGCGCTGCGAGACGTGGCTTATGTCATCCGCTTCGGTCACTTCCCCAGCGAGGAGGATGATGCTGGGGGCTCCTTCATCACCTCTCACAGACACCAGTTCATGTCTACACCTCAACAGACCGCTGACATCTCTCCTTCGCCTGAACTAAGTATAGCCAGTGATGAGCAAATTCTTTTCAATGATGAACAGAATTTCTTTAACGATGTCCAAAATCGCTTTGCTGACGACCGGAACCCCTTTGTCGATGCTCTGAATCCCTTCGCCGAGGACGGCAGCCTTGCCGTTGAAGACCAGTCCCCCAATATCAGTCAGAATTCCTGCTCCAGTTCTTCCATTTCCAGACCCAATGATGATTCAAGTGTGCCCAGTTCCCCTGTCGGCGACCAGTGTCCCACTACGGAGAGAAGACAGAGTGAACTGTCTTCGTATAAAGACAGGTTCACTACGCCACTACCAACTTCTGTCTCACCAAGCCTGTCCGCACCCCAGACACAAGTCTCCCCGAGCCTATCTACACCCCAAACACCAGTCTCCCCGAGCCTGCCCACACCTCCAGCTGATATCTCCACTTTCTTGCCCATACCCGAAACAGAAGTTTCCCCGAACCTACCCACAGCCCCAGCAAGAGTCTCTAAGACCCTGGAAATAAACAATGTCTCCCGGGCCCACGTGAAGGAACTCATCACTCAGGCTTTCAACGTGACCCGTCTTGACCTGTGCCGCATGGTAGAGGACATTGGTAACAGTAAGGTCAGTTGGATCATATTGTCGGCTTGTCTCACTTACTGATTTATTTTTCTTATCCAGAGTGTGTTTGGTTGTTTATATATCTTTACAGAACCCTCCTTCTGCCACTACAACAAAGCCAGTTCTACCACTTCTAACCTAACTGCCGTCTTTGTAATTAAGTAACTGTGCAGTTGTACAAAGGGACTCACGGGTGCCCACTTTCGTGTTCCTGCGTCTCAGCGTGGTCATCCAGAGAGAAAATGCTTGCTGCATACTTGGCCTGTGTCCACCTTCAGAGGAGCTGGAGAAGATTCATAATCTTCGATATCTTGTACTATTGCATGTAACCACTCAACCATCGATCCTGGACACTCGTGGCAGTGGTAAGCTCAGGGCTAATTTCAACTTCCTCTCGTTTGAATACCAACCTCCACAAGCAGTCTGTATGCTAATATATATATATAAAAGACAAAATACATTGACAAAAATACAGTAGGGATTAAAACAGCATAGATAACATCTCAGAGCTACAGCTCGAATTCTTCGTCTAGCTCTCCGGCGGTGGGCCGCACTGCCCAGAATGCTGCAGGCATTTTCCTTCTGGATCACAACGCTGAGTCTCTGAAAGAGGAAGCTGGCCACCCTGTGATCCTTGGTTTCTATGATGAGTTTTTCACCCAGATCTTTGAGGAACTTTAGAGCACACTTGCCCCATCATGCTCCAAGGGTCTCCGACCCCATTGGGGTGAAGTTATAGCAAGGGGCGAGGCCTTCATATTTCAGGGTCTTCTGGGTCTCCTTGCAGCTGGCAGCTCCACCCCCTTCAGCTTCGGAGTATGGCAAGTAGGTGACTGCCAATGTGGCAGCAGAGGTGTAGTCCCAGGCAATCTGCTTACCATCCTTCCAGGGTAGCATAGTGGCTCCATCAGGAAGCTTTTGACTTTCGTCAGACCTCTGTACTTGGGGTTCCCGGTGAGCTGGGCAACGGGCTATGGCGAGGCTTCTCTTTATGATGTCGTTGACCTCATGTCTGCATACTTCCCTACTGATGTGTAACACACGAGAACATGAAGTCCGAATTGATCAGCCGTCTCTCTCCAGCAAATATACCTATGTTCGGTGAGTATGGAGGCGGCTAGGCGAAGAGCAACAAAAATCCGAATGGCCTTTGGATCGAGTCGAGTATCCAGAGAGGAACTGGGAATCGCTAAAAGGAAATCTCCTGAATATGGTGCCTTCATCGCTGGGAGACGAGCTTTGTCCTTTCCTGAAGCGTTGGTGAGCATTATGTTGGCGATGTATGGGGTAGGTACAAGAATGTAGTGTTAGAGTGTTCAGCAGAAGTTTGTGGTTACGGGAAAGTGGGTGAGGGAGGGAAGAAGAGCAACTGGTGGAATGATGAAGTAAAAAAAATGGGAAAAAGTTAGCATTGGGAGAGGTTTTTACAAAGTAGAAGTGATGCAAGGAGGGAGGAGTATATGGAGAGAAAAAGAGAGAGCTTAAGAGAGTGGTGAAGCAATGTAAAAAGAGAGCAAATGAGAGAGTGGGTGAGATGTTATCAACAAGTTTTGTAGAAAATAAGAAAAAGTTTTGGAGTGAGATTAATAAGTTGAGGAAGCCTAAGGAACGAATGGATTGATTGTTAAAAATAGGAGAGGAGAGTTATTAAAAGGAGATTTAAAGAGGTATCGGGAAGAGGAGGGAAATATTTTGGGGAAAATGTAAATGTTGATGAAAAATAGGAAGCTTTGATTTCGTGTTAAAACAAGGAGGAATAACACCTTGGGGAGTAGGAGGAAAAGTTGTGAGGTGGGGGAAGCTCATTAGAGGGTTTAAATGAAAGGGGTAAGGTATTGGGGAAATTGAAGATAAAAGTTGTTTGGATTGATGGGTTAGAGCCCCAAATGAATTTTTCACTCACCATCAGGCGGGCTAAAACAAACATGGTTCGATTCCAGGTTCTCTTCTCTCTCCCTCTCTCTCTCTCTCTCTCTCTCCTCTCTCTCTCACTCTCCTCTCTCTCTCTCTTTCTCTCTCAGTTCCTCTCCTCTCTCTCTCTCTCTCTCCTCCCTCTCTCTCTCTCTCTCTCTCCTCTCTCTCCCCCTCTCTCTCTCTCTCTTCTCTCTCTCTCTCTCATCCATTTTTATATTAATATAATAATTAATATATTATATATATCCACAAACTGATTTCAAAAGGGGTTGTCGAGGCACCTGATGTTACCTGGTAACCTATCATCTTTGTTGCCCTCAGTGTCCATCCTAATCAGCTGTATCCCATCGTTGTGATCCCTTCATCGTGTCACCATCGTTGGATCCCCTTTCAGTCGTGTCCCCATCATTTGTGATCACCTCTCATCGTGACACCATCAGTTTGTGATCACCATCAGTCGTGACACCATCATTGTGATCACCACAGCTGTGGTCACCATCAGCTGTGGTCACCATCAGCGGGTCACCTCAGGCTGTGGTCACCATCGGGCTGTGGTCACCATCGGGCTGTTGTCACCATCAGGCTGATCCCCATCAGCGTGGCCACCATCAGCTGTGGTCACCACAGGCTGGGGTCCACCACAGGCTGGGTCACCCATCAGCTGGGTCCCACCAGGCTGGGGTCACCACCCAGGCTGGGGCACCATCAGCTGGGTCACCCATCGGGCTGGGTCACCATCGGCTGGGGTCACCATCAGGCTGGGGTCACCATCAGGCTGGGGTCACCATCGGGCTGGGGCCCACCATCAGCGGGGTCACCATCAGGCTGGGTCCCATCAGTGTGGTCACCATCAGGCTGTGATCACCATCAGGCGTGATCACCATCAGTTGTGGTCACCATCAGGCTGGGGTCACCATCAGGCTGTGGTCACCATCAGGCTGTGGTCACCATCAGGCTGTGGTCACCATCAGGCTGTGATCACCATCAGGCTGTGGTCACCATCAGGCTGTGATCACCATCAGGCTGTGGTCACCATCAGACTGTGGTCACCATCAGGCTGTGATCACCGTCAGGCTGTGGTCCCCAAATCAGGCGTGATCACCATCAGGCTGGGGTCACCATCATGCTGTGGTCCACCATCAGCTGGGGTCACCATCAGGCTGGGGTCACCATCAGGCTGGGGTCACCATCAGGCTGGGGTCACCATCAGGCTGTGGTCACCATCAGGCTGGGGTCACCATCAGGCTGTGGTCACCATCAGGCTGGGATCACCATCAGGCTGTGGTCACCATCAGGCTGTGGTCACCATCAGGCTGGGGTCACCATCAGGCTGTGGTCACCATCAGGCTGGGGTCACCATCAGGCTGGGGTCACCATCAGGCTGGGGTCACCATCAGGCTGGGGTCACCATCAGGCTAGGGTCACCATCAGGCTGTGGTCACCATCAGGCTGGGGTCACCATCAGGCTGTGGTCACCATCAGGCTGGGGTCACCATCAGGCTGTGGTCACCATCAGGCTGGGTCACCATCAGGCTGGGGTCACCATCAGGCTGTGGTCACCATCAGGCTGTGGTCACCAATCAGGCTGTGGTCCACCATCGGGCTGGGTCACCATCAGGCTGGGGTCACCATCAGGCTGTGGTCACCATCAGGCTGTGGTCACCATCAGGCTGGGGTCACCATCAGGCTGGGGTCACCATCAGGCTGGGGTCACCATCAGGCGTGGTCACCATCAGGCTGGGGTCCCATCAGGCGGGGTCACCATCAGGCGGGGGGTCACCATCATGGCTGGGGTCACCATCAGGCTGGGGTCACCATCAGGCTGGGGTCACCATCAGCTGGGGTCACCAATAAAGGCTGGGGTCACCATCAGGGTGGGTCACCATCAGGGTGGGTCACCATCAGGCTGTGGTCCCCAAACAGGCTGTGGTCACCATCAGGTGGGGTCACCATCAGGCTGGGGTCACCATCAGGCTGGGGTCACCATCAGGCTGGGGTCACCATCAGGCGGGGGTTCACCATCGGGGCGGGGTCACCATCAGGCTGGGGTCACCATCAGGCTGGGGTCACCATCAGGCTGTGGTCACCATCAGGCTGGGGTCACCATCAGGCTGGGGTCACCATCAGGCTGGGGTCACCATCGGGCTGGGGCCCACCATCAGGCTGGGGTCACCATCCAGCTGGGGTCACCATCAGGCTGGGGTCACCATCAGGCTGGGTCACCATCAGGCTGTGATCACCATCAGGCTGTGATCACCATCAGGCTGGGGTCACCATCAGGCTGGGGTCACCATCAGGCTGTGGTCACCATCAGGCTGGGGTCACCATCAGGCTGGGGTCACCATCAGGCTGTGGTCACCATCAGGCTGGGGTCACCATCAGGCTGGGGTCACCATCATGCTGGGGTCACCATCAGGCTGTGGTCACCATCAGGCTGGGGTCACCATCAGGCTGGGGTCACCATCAGGCTGTGGTCACCATCAGGCTGTGGTCACCATCAGGCTGGGGTCACCATCATGCTGGGGTCACCATCAGGCTGTGGTCACCATCAGGCTGTGGTCACCATCATGCTGGGGTCACCATCAGGCTGTGGTCACCATCAGGCTGTGGTCACCATCAGGCTGGGGTCACCATCATGCTGGGTCACCATCAGGCTGGGGGTCACCATCAGGCTGTGGTCACCATCAGGCTGGGGTCACCATCATGCTGTGGTCACCATCAGGCTGGGGTCACCATCAGGCTGGGGTCACCATCAGGCTGGGGTCACCATCAGGCTGTGGTCACCATCAGGCTGTGGTCACCATCAGGCTGGGGTCACCATCAGGCTGGGGTCACAGGCTTGCACTTACAAAAGCTTTACTGCACCACACTGTAATCCATGAAAAAAAAAAGTTTGAGCTTCTAATAGACAAAACAATATCACTAGAACAAGAAAACTTCCCCCACCTTCATCCAGCAGCAAATTTATCTATTAATCTACTTCCTGTGTGTAGGCCTAGCCTGACCTTGCCCTTCCAAAATGAACGTAATTAGGCATCACTGAAGGAGGACCTCCGAAATGTTGCCTGAATTTTTTTTTTTTTTTTCCA